ATCTGTACAACATCGAAACCATTAAGACCTAATTGACATTTATGGCCCAATATATCCCCAAACTTCAGTATTCACATTTTCAAGTGTACATGTTATGTTCACCAGTATAAACCATATGCTGAGCTATATAATAGTAAACCTTAGTATATTTAAAAGATTTGCACTCATACAAAGTATATTCCCTAACTGCAATGGAATCAAACTAGAAATTAGTAACAATAAGATATTTAGAGAAAATGTTGCATATTTGGAAATTAACACACTTCTAAATAATTCATGGTGAAAAGAGAAATCACAAGGGAAATTACAAAATATTTCAAACTTTGTGCTAATAAAATGCATCATATGAAAATTTGTTGGATGCAACTAAAACAGTACTTGCAGGAAATTAGCATTACAATCACTTGCATATCTTAAGGTGACTGATTTAAATCAGGTTTTTCAAAGGTTAGCTACCTTTTCTAATTTAAAGAAAAATGTCAGTGGAAATGTAGACAAATCTTGATAATGTATATAGTATGGATATACAGTATGAAGGTCTTTTAAAATAAATGCTAAGATTAAATGTGTTGTAACAATATTTGGGATGAACTTTCTTCAGTGTTTAAGTATCTCTGAAATGTTACTAAGTCAGTTAAAAAAAATTTAGTATCATACCCAGAATTATTTTTGTGTGTGTGAGCATTTAATAGAATATACCTAACTAGAGTCCTGATGCACAAAACTTCATGCAAGAGTAGGCCTTCCTTCTCCCGGCTGCCAGCACTGGCTTCCCTCTAGCACCCAGGACCCAGGCTGCTTCCCTCTGGCCGCCCACAGGCACCCAGGACCCGGGCTGGCTTTCCTCTGGCCCTGGCTTTGTCAGGAAGGATGTCCGGAATGATGTCCAGAAGACGTCCAGTCTAATTAGCATATTACCCTTTTATTATTATAGATACCTAGAATAAAGTCAAATGAGCAACAAACAAGTGAAAAAAACTTATCTATTTACACAGCACCTAGTTTATTGTTATTGTTTGGTACAAACACCCCCATATAAATAATGCTATTTATATACTAAATTCCAGGCATAAATCAAAACACAGTGGAAATTTATGCAGATAGACACAAACTGAAATTCACTGGTTTAGACACTGAATTGAATTGAATGGAAAAGTGGATGGATTTTTCTGGGTTTAATAATTAGTAAAAACTGGTAGTTTTCTGTGAATATTCAGAGACTTTTCAGGGCTTTTAGGGTGCCTATAGTATTTCTCTTTGTTCCTAGAATTTGAGTTCACAGATCATTAGTGGATAAGTATCATTTGTTAAGAGAACATTTGGACACAGGCTTTTCATGCAACTTCAGTAGCTAAATTATAACTGGAATGTCCTTTTTCAATATTCAATATTGATGCTGTACCCCTCCTGTAAGCCCAGGTCAAATTGTTATCTCTTTCTGGTAGCCTTTCCTAAAATCCACTCCACATCCCCAAACACACAAGCTCTTGCCTTCCCATTAGCTGTATAATCTTAGTTTATTATGTTTTGCATTGTCTTTATTTGTATTTCCCTTATTCCTTTTTGATATATAAATGCTTGACGTCAGGCACTCAAAGTACCTATCATAGTGACTTGTGCACAGTAAGTGCGAACAGCATTGGAAATGAGCGACAAATAAAAATAATAGTGGCAATTACTAACAATACTGACTTTTTCCTAAAAGAACCTAAGGAATGGAGGTGACAGACTTTCTTGTGTTTATTCTTATCAACCAAAAAAGAGGTTGGTTTCTGTGGCTGCCACGTGCCATGAAATCTCCCCTGCCCCCACAACCCCAAGGTGCAAGCTTGAAAAGTACTCTTTGCCTAATATATGGTATGGTAGGAGACTCAACCTACAAGCTAACAAAAGAGTTTACATTTTTTAATGGTTAAAAAGTAGCGAATATAAGAATATTATGTGGAAATTATATGAAATTAAAATTTTAGTGTCTAATAAAGAAAAAGTTTTTGGAACAAGTATACTCATTTATTTGCCTACTGTCTATGGTTGTGTTTCTAGGACAACAGAATCAAACAGTTGCTACTATGAAAACGGTGTGACTCCTAAAGTCTAGAATATTAAGTTTGCCATTCCTGATATAGTGACTATGTCATGGCAATATGACATACCAAATTTCCTCCTCTAACCTTTATATTATGTAAATCGGATAAAAATCTCATACGCACAAAGGTTTACTTTATTTACTTATTATTTTCACAATGGTCTATATTACTGGGGAAAGACAATGAACAAGTCTAGTGCTACTTATTTTTTTGCTAGGCTGCAGTTTCTACCTCATGTATCCACTTTGTTTCATAATCTCTAACATCACAGCGAATTCTGGACAGCAATCATAAAAATATAGGGTGCAAAACTGTAAGTGGATTTATGTACTTTCATCAGCACTGTTTGAGTAATAGTTTTCTGTTCACTGTCCTATTGACAGTAATTAATAGCGTCATCTTTGAAAAGAAATGTGACACATGTCTTACCTGTGGGCTCTCAATAAATATGAGTACTTTAAACATTTTTAAAAGCCTTAAGAATAATACAATAGTACTTGTTCTATTCTAATGTAGGTCATTTCCTGTCTGTGGATGATGTAGAGGAATAATAATATTGTAAATTAAAAATGAGAGACATGGACAAGAAGAGAACAGAGGGCTAAAAAAAATAGGAGTTTTCGGGAGCAACATGTCTTCCTTTTAACAGATAAGCTATTCCACAAGAGAAATTGTTATTACCTATTTGGTGGTTTTTTTTTTTTAATAGTAATGATTTGATGGCACTTATAACAGCAAAAACTCAAAGAAAAAGAAAATGCTTTTCTTCCTTTAAAATCTTTTGTGGAGGTGGCAGAAAAGAGGCTGGAGAAGGAAAACTGTGAATTGTGATAGAGGTTGATGTTCAAATCCAGCAACTTCTATGTGATTGAGAGTGCTTTAAGAATAGTATGAAAGATGTGAATCTCCCCCACTAATATTTTTTCATGCGTCTAACTGCTCTGAAAAGGTCATTTATTGATAAGGAGTAATAAGCGTGAAATTAGGACATAGTAATTTCTTTGTAGCACTCAGAATATTTCTAGGTAGAATTGTCAATTCCCACATTGTCCATATATTTTTCTTAAAAGAAACGTTGAAAAAATCCATGTGAAATAATTATGCATGACACCCCAATAGAGTTTACTCTTTTTCATTCGATTATTAGTTATTATAATAAAGTAACCTCAAACATTGTCATAGCATTAACATACTGCTTCTCATTTCCTGTCTTCCTTCTCAGAAGGCTCTGCTTTAAACTATAGTCTAGGAAGAAAGAAAGAACATTGTGAAAAGGATTATGTGGTATACAGAATCCTGAAGTGCTACCCTCCTCAACCCCCAAGATTTCCTTCTTGATCCTGAGGACTACATGAATGTGATGAGCTGTCAGGTCTGTATTTATGTTATGTTACAGGACAAATGGCATTGTGCAGAGGTCATAAAGGTTAAATCAGTTAAACTAAAGCAGGAAGAATAATATCTAGTTAGACTGAAGTGAATCGTAAGTGCTCTTTAAAAGCAAGAAATTTTCTCTAGCTGGCAGCAGAAGGCAAAACCAGAGATAGTTGAAGTGAGAGAAGGATTCAGCCCACTGCTGCTGCTTTGAAGAAGGAGGGACTAGGTGAGAAGGAATTCAGGCAGCCTCTAGGCCCAGAGTGGGCCCTGGCTGAAGGCTTCAGGCCTAACAACTTAAATGAGCTTGCAAGAGGATTCTCCCCCAGAGCTTCCAGAGAGCTTCATCCAGCCAAAGCCTTGATCTATCTATCTCAGCACCGAATCTGAGAGCATTGAATCCAATTGAGCCCACCAGCATTTTTGACCTACAGAACTATAGGTCTGACTTATAGAACTCGGAATAAGTGGGTATTGTTTTAAATTGTTAAGTTTGTGGTGATTTATTATATAGCAATAGAAATCAAATATTAAAAAGTACTCTTAACTATTAATATTTCAACATGTAGATTTATGGGTGTAGGATATGGATCTGAAAGCGACAACACTTAGACAACATCAGATGGTACTAAAAGACCAAGTCAGGATTTTCAATACTTTTTGAGTTTCGATGGGGACAGCTGCATGAAAGCATTCTGATGGCCTGATACCTAAGATTGAAATAGGAGGGAAATCTAATTGTGGATATTATTTTTAGTGTTCTTTTTCTGATTGGGAGTGGAAAAATAAACCTTTTCCTTTTTTCCTGATCTTTTCCTAGCCCTCAAGTTAGTATACTATGCTTTTGCTAATTAAAATGAACCATTCTTTAAATGGAAACATTCTCCCAGAGGCTTCAGAATTTAAGAACAAATAGTTTCCTGAGTCTTTTAGCTTTCTTGTATCTATATAGTTCACTGTACCAGTTCAATGAGAATCTGTCCTCCTTTTTACCAGGACATAATTGGATAAATTCATTGTGCAGCCAATACCATACCTAGATGTGCCTTATATGAAAATAAATTTCATTTCATTAGTTCTGACAAATCCTCCATTAAGGAACAAAGGTTGTACATTATAGGTGAAACCAAAGGCCCATAAACAGTCCCAGAAAATTGGTCTGATCAGTGTTTTAGAGTTTACAGGTTATATATCATGTCACTCTTTGGCAGGCCAGATAGCTCTTTGTATTTTAGGTATCTTGAAGAGAGAAGAATTTATCCAATTTGTAGATCCTACAGGTGAACTTTGTTGAGATGAATTTTGGGGGTTGGGTTTCTTAGTAAAAGTGAAATGTCATGAGTAAAGATTAATCTCTTTATAGTGCAATTCTTAACCTTTTTATATTAATGTCAATATTGGAACAATGTATGTTGGATGTTTTCACTATGTATCTTTGCTACACAACACCGACGTACATGTTTACATCCGGTTTTAGAATTGCATTATTGATCATGGGTAACGTGAGTAATAATATTACTGGAGTGATGCCAAACTGCGGCCGTTGCAAGAGAAAAATATTTGAATTATGCAATTTTTTGTCTCTGCCGATGCATGTCACCCAAAATGAGTTCGCGTGTCACCTCTGACATACGTGTCAGAGGTTCGCCATCACTGGCATAGCCCATGATCGCAGCCCATGGGAGAGAAAAAGTGAAAGAGACAGAACCATTGAATCTATGGAGCCTGAACCCAAAACCTGGGATGTGCCCAAACAGGGAACCGAACACGCGACCCTCCGTGACCCCTCGGCACCCAGGCCCGGGCAGGGTCTGCATTTCTGGGGCCTTCAGACCCTTCAGACCCGTGCTAAGCAGCTCACCAGCCAACACACCCTATGCGGCCCCAGGCGTTTCTCTCCAGGAAACAATGTCTGAGCGGATTATTGAAAACGGATCAACCCTGGTCTCTAACCAATCACAGCGCGGGGCGGGAACAAGAAGTGATGCCCAGAGCGGGTATATAAACAGGCGGGTGTCAGCGCCTGGCACAGCGTTTGCCAGTCCGGGCTGCAGGAGCTGCGAGTGAAGGCGCTGCGGAAGCGAGCTGTGGCCTGTTACCGAGGCCGTCCCTTCGGTCCTCACCATCAGGAGCTCACTTCAGGCCCGGTTTGCCCAGTCCCATTGGAGACGTTTCCCGGGAATATGGCTACAGACCAGGCCTTTTCCGATGGTCATGGTCACCCCCAGGGCAACCTGTGCTGGCAGCTGCTACCGGCCGAACCGCCCCAGGGAAACCTCACTGAAGAAGAGCACCGGGACTCTGAGAAGGGGCATGTGCTCTTCAGAGCCTTCCAACACTCGGAGGACACCGACCCCCTCCAGAGCGTGCACACAATGTCTGCGCTCCTCCATCGCTGGCTCAGGCCGGATGTGCTCACCAAGAAGCAGATCTTGGATAAGCTTCTGCTGGAGAAGTTCATGATCTGCATGCCCCTGGAGCTGCAGGTCTTGGTGAAGGAGAGGCGCGTGCAGAGCTGCGAGGAACTGAAGGTCTTGCTGAGAAATCAGGAGAAACCCAGGAATTGGAAGGTCATCACCTTGCAAGGGCAAAAGTACCTTCAGGAGAATTCCGATGTCCAGATGGCTGATGAGGAAGTTGGTGACACAGACAACGTGTTGGACTTGTCCATAAAGTCCCAATCCCCCATAAGTCAGATGGGGGTACATCCTGAGAACAGCCAGGAGGACAGTGGAGAGCCAGGGAACCAGCCAGGAACCAGTGACATGGTGTGGGGACAGGGGAAGAATGTCTTCCTGCCAGAGATGATTCCCACGAAAAGTGATCTGGAGGGTGTGAGGCCCACGGAGAATTTGGTGAATTTTGAGAAGGATGTGATGGAAGACAGGGTAGAGGCAGCAGTACTCACATCTCCAAAGCTTCCGCTTCCCAGCAGTCCTAGAGATTCGGTGCAGACAGAGGGGGAGCAGAACCCGCAGGAAGGAACTGGCCTGGAGCGTGTGGATGCCTGTGACATACCTCCCACCCACATTCCGGAGACACAGGCTTTGAGTCAGCCTCCAAAGAGAAGAGGCTCTGGGAATTTAGGAGGTGCCCCCAAGAGAAAAAGGGGCAACACTCCCACCCTCCAAGAGGAGCCTCAAGAAGGAGCCGTGTCGTTGGACAGAGGAGAAGTCACCAGACGGCACCGGTGCAATTCAGTGGGTGCATCAAGCACCGTGGAGCAAACTGGCCACCCTGTTGGGAAAGAACACAGGAGAAAGATACCATATGAGTGTCAAGACTGTAGCAAAAGGTTCAGCTACAAATCACAGTTAGAACTTCACCTGAGGACACACATAGGAGAGAGACCTTTCCAGTGCCTTGACTGTCCCAAGGGGTTCATTCAGGCCTCGGACCTCCACATCCACCAGCGGATCCACACGGGGGAGAAGCCGTTCTGCTGTAAAGTCTGCCAGAAGAGGTTCACTCACGAGTCCATGCTGCGTGGCCACCAGCGGGTCCACACCCAGGAGAAGCCTTACCAGTGCGCCGTCTGCCAGAAAAGGTTCGGCCACCGCGGGAACCTCAACGTCCACATGCGCACCCACTAGGGCCTGAGACCCTACCAGTGTCCCCATTGCCACCTGGCCTTCTGCCAACTGGGGACATTTAAAGGCCACCAAAGGACACATGTCAAGGAGGCGCCCCAGGGGCCCCAGGTCCCTTCTGACCAAGAAGGAAACTAACGGGTCTCTCCCTCTCCCTTCCTCTCTGAAATCAATAAAAAAATATATTTTAAAAAACAAAACAAAAATAAATAAATAAATAAATAAAATAAAATCTGCATTCACATCTGATCGTTTTTACATTAAAGAAACCTAAAGAGAGTATGATTTGGAGTATGACATGCTACTATTCAGGAGCAACTATAATTGAATAAGTGATGGCTGGTATTCAAGAAAATTATCTGATTGAGGGTAGAATGTGGTCAGTAAGAGCAACAGTGAAAACAATTTTTCTTTTAATTTATCTTTATTGTTGGAAGTATTACAAATGTCCCCTTATTTTCCCCCATTGACCCCCTCCACCCTGCACCCAGTCCTCCCCCCTCCATTCCCTCCCAGGCCTTTACAGAACTATTGTCTGTGTCTATGGGTTATGCATATATGCATATAAGTTCTTTGGTTAATCTCTCCCCACCCCGACCTTCCCTGTCCATGCTTCTGTGTCTCTGAATCTATTTTGGTCATCAGTTTATATGAGTGAGATCTGTCAGTCTGTTCCATGCTTCTGTGTCTCTGGGTCCATTTTGGTCATCAGTTTATATGAGTGAGATCATGTGATACTTGTCTTTCTCTAACTGGTTTATTTTGCTCAGCATAATACTCTCCAGGTCCCTCCATGCTGTCTCAGAAGGTAAGAGAGCCTTCCTTAAAACAAAATTTTTAAAAACTTATTTTTTATGGGGCAAAAGGGCTAACCATTTTTGGTAAATTGCACGTGGGAAAAACTATATATATATATATATATATATATATATATATATAATCTGTATTTTAATGCACAACTGTTAGGGATATATATACATTACTTTACCTTTGGATTTCTTATAGAATGTGTTTTATTTTGATGTACACATTAAAACTGGTTACAATATTTTAAATGACTTGAATACCTAGATGAAATTTTATTTTGTCAAATATTTAAACTTTCCTTGTCTGTCATAATCTGTAGAAAGATTTTATTAGAAAGACACAATAGTTTTTCTTGGTTAGTTAGTAATGACTTTGTGACCATCAATTTTCTCTAGTGAGCCTTAGACACCAATCTATAATTTAAGAAATTACTATGGCATTAGCTTAATTACTTAGCCAGGACAACTCCTTTTAATCAGTTACTAACAATCTAAAACAACAGGATATGACTCTTTATTTTTACTTTAAAAATAGCAATTACATTCAGCAAATGACAGGTTAAACACTTCATTACAGGATCAATGCAAAAGGAGAGGTCCTGTTATTGATGACATTGAACTTGTCTTTCTGAGTAAGCATAGAGATAATGGATGAAACTGTCATTAAATGAAAACAATAATTTTACACTGTCTTTAGAGAAAATATTTTTATTTAGAAGTATTGTATTTATTAAGGGATATTTTGATCCATTCTTTTTACCTGAAGTCACCCAACGACATATCTGGCTCTTGTATTTGCAACAATTGATATCCTCAAACTCGTGGTCAGTCTGGGCCAGTCCAGGAGTGTCTTGCTGGTATTTATCAATGAAATGTATGTCTAGGAAATTATGGACTGTTTCTCTTGACTAAGTTGGGACCTACTGGGCTTTCCTTATATCCTATGTTGATTCTAGAATCTAGATGGTACCACAAATTCTTCATTTGTTCTGGGTATGTCTCCCACTTGCTCCCTGGTCTGGGTGCCCACCTCAAAATTCTGTACTGTAGGAGTATTTGGTTTCCTCATTGCAACCACCAGTTTAACCACTTCTCTCCACTTGGCCAACACTGCACAACTCTCCTCTCTTTGCCCCAGTATCTGTGTGAGGCTGGCGTCATGGTAACTTATACCCAGGGTACCAAGTGGGAGGTAGGGCCGAAGATTTTCTGCTATTGGCTCTCCCTTCAACCTAACCAGTATCCCACTGGCCATAATCCTGAGAGGTATAGGCAAATCATAATATACATCTGAAGGGCTATTTCTCTGCCTCTCTTTCCTTCCCAATTTTACCTCTCCTGAAAGAGAACAGTTTTCTGTTCTTTCTTCCTTTCCAAAGGAAACTTGTTGATGCCTGATCATGGGTTTCCTCCTCTTTGTGATCTATAATACAACACTGCCACTCAATTTGCTCAACCTTGTTAGTACATTAATGGAAAATAAAGAATTTTTTTTAATCCTCACCCTGGGATACTTTTTCCCATTGATTTGTAGAGAGTGGACAGGAGGGTGGGAGGAGAGAGAGAGAGATGAGAGAAACACATGGATTGGTTGCCTCACGCACTCACTGTGTGACTGGGGCTGGGGATTGAACCTGCAACCGAGGTACATGTCTTTGACCGAAAATCGAACCCGAGACCCTTCAGTCTATGGGCCAACGCTCTAATCACTGAGCAAAACTGACCAGGGCAAAGCTAAAGAAACTTGGAAAATATTTTGTTTCCCAACAAATTTTGATAGTCAAGCCCATTGACTAGCTGAAAAGTTGCATTTTGGTTGTTAAAAGCTGAGCATTTTCTTTTCCTTTGGATTTTTATTGTAATCATCGTAACTATCCGGGAGGCAAACGGATGCCTCTGAAACTGTTTATTCTTTCATTCAGTAAAAGTATATTGAGCATATGTTATGTTCTTGGCACAGCTTTAGGTGCTGATGTGCTAGTGGCGGAAACAGACAATACATGAGAGAGATAAGAAAGGAAGGAGAACAATAAAGCAGAGAAGGGCAACTGGAAGTTTTGGGGCAGTTGAGCTGTTCTTCATGTAGGGGGCAGGCTCACTGAGAAGGTGACTTTTGAGAAAAATCTGAAGGAACTGAAAAGAGTCGGTCATCCAATATCTGTGAGAAGATCATTGTAGGTAGGAAAAGATAGCAAGCTTAGAGGCTTACGTGCTGAAAGTGGGTTTGCTTAGAATGGGGAAAGGAATAGGAGATGAAGCCAGTTGGTAATACAGTGTCAGAACATGCAGGGCCTTGCAGGTGAAAGCTGGACTTTGGCTTTTACTCTGGGTGGGTCAGGAAGCCACTGGAGGCTTTTATGAGAGGAATAACATAAGCTGAAATAAATGTTAACAGTCTGTAGGAGCAGAGCCAGAGGGCAATAAGAACATTAGAAGTTATTGTAATATAGATGAGAGCCAAGCCTTTGAGAAAGTGGCTACATTCTGGATATATTTTGAAGTTAGAGACATCAGGATTTAATAACAAACCACAAGTGGAAAGTAAGATAAAAAAAAAAAAAAGATAATCAAGGAAGGCAACAAGATTTGGGAACTGAACACTTGAAAAATGGAATTGTACTAAACCTGAAAAGTAAAATGAGCACCTTAGGGGTGGGCCGGACATCAGGACATGGTAAGCTATTAGATGCCCTAGTGGAGATGTTAACTCAGCAACTATATGGGTAGGTTTGGAGTCTAAGGGTGAGGTCTGGGTTGGAAACTTACAGTTTTACATTACTGCCATATTAGTTTTAATTTCTTACCTAAGCCTACTGAACGCTGCCTTATTTGATAGGAAAGAAATGAAAACACAACGAACCAAAAAAAAAATTCATGAAATGCCTGAAAACCAAGCCTAAAATCTAATTTAGAGATTTTAATGAACACTTAAAATCCCTCCCAAACCACAGATGTTGAAGTAAGAAGATTACAGAAGGAAATTATTCAATAGTTCTTAATAATTGATAGCATTCAGGCTATTTTTAAGTTTCAGTTATCTGCATGGCTTGTTCTTTCATGTCCATCAAGTCATTGCTCAAATATTTCCATCTTAATGAGGGCCACCCTGACCAATGCAGTTAAACATCAGCCTACTTCTTCCACCCTCTCCCCTCTCTTTAAAGTGCTTTATTTTATTTTTTGTTACCAACACTCTGTCAAATACATGATTTGATTATGTTTGTTCATTGCTGCATTGAACACAGCTTGTGCACAGCTTTCAATCCCACTGGCCTCACCTAGGATTCGAGCTTTGGCAGTGGTCCCTGGTTCCCTGAGCAGCTTCACGAGGTTGCAAAAAGACAGTGTCTCACCTCAGACCCACATCTTAAATTCCTGCCTTAGCACTTCTTTGCTAGTGCAGACTGCCTTTGGGAACCTGCTGGACACAAAATTAATATAACCCAAAGGTGTGGGAGTTAATCCTTCAGGGCTCCCTTTGGCCTACGGGAGATGGGCATTTTCTTCTCTCAGGTGTATATTCTTGGATGCTTTTCACAAAGTATCCCATGGGATAGTATACCTACTCAACCAGAGTGGTGACCAACTTATTGCATCCATTAATGAATTCTTCCACTGTTCTTTTATTCCCCCATGCCTAAATCCTACCACTGAGTTCGTGTTCCTAAGTTAACAATTTGTACTTAATTAAGCCCTGGTCACCGGCAGGTTCTGCGTTATGGGGAATTCAGGCAAGTAATTTTTTTGTTTGTTTGTTTTCTACCACTTCAGCTGCCCATCTGATATATCAGATGCTGTCTACGGCCACACCACCCTGAACGCGCCCGATCTCGTCTGATATATCAGATGCTAATATATCCTAAGCATCCAGCAAATGACCTGGTATATGACAAACTTTCAATAAATGTGTTGAATTGAATTGAATATAATTTGGTCTTCTAATTGCTAAATTAGGTAAGGATTAGAAATTTGGTACTTCAATACCAAAGTGCAACTATCAAAATGGTATATTATTCCAGAGGTCATTGAACTAGACTATAGGGCAGTTCAAACATGTATGGACAATAGGAAGTAGGAGTTAAAGGCCTATATGCAGGAGGCATACTGCTTGGGTTGCGTGTTAATTGTTACCTGTGTACATTTGAAAAGTTCTTTAACTTATCTGTGCTGCAATTTCCTCATCTCTAAAATGGAGATAATAATAAGCTCTAGCTCAAAAAGTTGCTATGAAGATTAAATAGGCATATATATATATATATATATATACGCACATATATATGACATAGGTGGCATGTAGTAAGTATAATATACATGTTTGCTGCTATTAGTATTATTACTATTGATTTCCACCAGATATATTATGGAAACCCAGCATCAAGTTAAAATAAATG